CGTGTGCAAATTCTCGTCACTTTATACTTACAAAAAAAAGCGCTATTGTGTTGTTAACCCCCTTCTGAATTTGGCTTTACATAATAGAGTACTGATAGTTTCTTTTAAAAAAATATAAAAAACAAACTTATATTTATCTAATCTTAATATCTCTTCATACTCATCAGTCGAATAAGTAAAAATAAAAGTAGTTAATTAAATTATATTTTTTAAAATTGAAATGTATTTTATCTTAAAATAGAAAGAATAGGATATAGAGAAAAGACGAAAGATTTGCAAGAATCGTTTATTTTCGTCTAAGAATGAGAAATTTAAACAAAACTATGAATAAGTATCCTTCAAAATCTGTATTTCCGCTGCATTAGTCATCTCAGAAGAAAATATATAAATTTTTTTTTTCTTTTTTTCCCCTTGTTCTCTCGAAGCACTTCTATAAACGACCCTTTTCTCATGAAGTATAGAACATGATTTGGCAAGAATCTAGAGAGAAACAATTAAGGGGGATTAAAGATAGCGAGGAGTAGAATGCAACAAACTTACCAAAAAAATGGTTAACTTTGTCAAACAGTCGCTGAGAAAATTGTCACCGGAGTTACGATACCTGAGAAAGTTATTGTAATTCTTAGAAGCAATATCTTTGTTTACTTTATAAAAAAAGAACTGAAAAAAAATTCAATGAAATTGGGGTCTAAAATAAATTTTCTTTGATACTGTAAATTTTTATATTACTTTTAAACAATATAAATAAACGAGAGAATTTTACACCTGCTTACTTTTTTATTATAGAATTCTTATAAATTCCTTATCTATATTGTATATATATAATACAGCGAACAAGAATGGACTAGCTATAAAAGTATTTATTTTGAAGTGGAAGATGTTTAAAATTTCTACATTTAAGTTTATCGACAGAGAATATTTGCTTGTTTAGACGCGGAAGAAAGATGAAATACATTTATTTTTTCTTTTTCTTTTTGATAAGAGAAAAGGACTCTGAAGATGAGTTTCGATTTATAAATCAAAAATGGAAGAAATTGATTTAAAATATCAATTTTTACTTTTTGTTTATACATTTTTTATAAAGTTTTATATGTTAAAATTTATGTAGAAGCAATATTTCAACGTATAGATTGATAGATTTGCATGTAACTTATATCATAAATACTAAAATAATATATAGCCTGTTAAATATTTTATTTGTAAAGGAAAAAAATTTAATTAATGAATAATTTTTATTAATTTGCTTTCAAATGGTATAAATTTAATATAAATTAAAATAATATCGAAAAATTCGAGTAATTTGTAAATACTTTTTTTTTAAAATGAAATATGAGAATGCAAAAGAGTAAAATTCCTACTTAATTAATGCTCAACACATAAGGGCCGTTTATTTTTATTCACTTGAACAGTGCTTAACTTTGATTGAACAATGTTTAATATGGTTTAAATTTGTCTTAATATGAATTTAATAGGGCTTAATAAGAATTAAATAATGCTTCACGAGAATACAATAAGATTTAATGGAGATTGAACAATGCTTCACCTGGATTGAGCAGGTTTATCGTGAACTGAGCGATGCTTAATACGAATTACCCAATGCTTAAACTGAATTGAACAGGGCTCAATGTGAAGCGAACATATATATATATATAACTGGCAAAAATGAGCACTTCTACACATTTGTATGATAGATGTTGAGGATACTTTTCTAATATATGAGTTAACAGCACAATTTTTAAGCATCTTTACAAAATTTTGTTACATGAAAGGAAGAAAAGAAGTAGGCAAGCCTTTGCAGCACTAGCTAAAAATATATTTTACACCTACTTCAAAATTGAACATCTTTCCCCATTGGATATCTCCCTAGATTTATCATATATAGCGAAAAATCATGTTACGGAATACTGATGTATACATTATACAATAAAATATACATTTCCATTCCAATTCCTATAATATCAAATGGAAAATATCTAACTCAAGTACAGCAATATACACATTAATCATATTATTAACATAACATTTAGTTTCTATTAATAACCGAACAGCAATTATAACAATTGTCAAAATCCTCCAGGTATAAACTTATGGCGAATTGGGAGCAATATAAGAGAACAGCTCATGCAACATGCAACAATAATTGAGAATTATTACAATAAAGTTTAGAGAATTATGAAAATTTTTTTCCTTTAAAAATTCCTGAATTTTTGGAAGAATTTTTTATATATATATATATGAATAATGGAACCAAATAAAAACTGATTTTTTAGACGATAGGATATTTAAATCAATCGCTGATTATCATTTTGTTAGCAAATAAATAAATA